GCTGAGCTCAATGTGGCGGCGCAAACCACCAAGTGAACACCACCCACGCGCAGATGCATGCACATGATAAAACAAACTGTGATTACACCTGTACTACGACGATGAAACCAGTCACGTAGCAATGGTTACACTGAAAGGTAGGGCATGTGCTTCTACAAAAAATAGTCCAACTAGAAAGGAAGTCGATTTGTACCCAGCGTTTAACTTTTGCTTTGAATTTCTATCTTCTTTTCATTCCAGAATTGGTCCTGCTTTGCGTTAGAAGTTCCTCACAATTCAGAATCTTTAAAAACTTCAGATGAAAGCTTGGTTCCCGCAACGCGACAAGCTGGGGTTCGTATCTGAGACTAACTCTTTTGTGTGGTTGCCTGATTTATAGTTGAGCTGTCTATGTAAACTGGGAACATCTTAGAAGAGCTCAAACAAAACCTTAACTCAAAACAGATTCATTTGCGACTTAACTCTTTCATTGAAACACTTACACAGCAAATAAATATTTAACACCTACAAAGCAAACAAATCTGAGACAGACAGGCCACACAGGTTAAGAAAAAGTGCTTCGTCAGCCAGCACCGAAATTAACGATCAGATGAGTGTTTCACGTCACTTAAGTTTCACCATTTGCTACCGTTATTTGTTGTTGCTTTTGTTGTCTGCGTAATACCACGTGACAGATGACCAGAAGATGGCTCAGCCTGTCAGGTCCCGCTGAGATGACCACCGAAATTACAAACTTAAATTCGCCAAAGGCTGCGCCTCTCTCCGCTAAGAAAAAGGGATTCAACCAATAAAATAAGAGGACATATACAGAGACATCTATTAACATATGTGGACAGGGTAGTGGTTAATGGGTTACTTGTGGCTAAGAAAGCATTAGGATGTAAGCGAAGAGTAGTCAGTGCCAGACCAACAATTGACAGTCCACTAATGCTTCACCGAATGCAATGTCATGCAATGCGACATTTGTGTCGCACATGCTCGACAGCACGCCATCAGGATTAGTCCAGCTGTGTTGAGGTCCAAGCGAGCAAGTAGAAAGCAGACGAACAGCGCGAATACATCATGGTCAGGCCTTGCTGCGAGGGGCAAATGGTTTGGGTGCGACAGTCAACGTGAATAAGTTGAAATGACGCCAAGATGCTGGAAAGGATGCCATTTACGGCGGGTTTTAGTGTAGTCACGGGCAGGTGGGCTGCAGTATTCGATGTGCAGTATGACGAGTAGAGTACATTGAGTGGGCTCATTGTGGGAGCGTGTACCACCGTCTAACATGCGATCTCTGATCACAGTGTAGCCCGGTGTCGGCCATGACAGAGGTCCATCTCATGGCGAAGTCACACGCTGATTCACAACAGCTGAAATGGCTGGTAATATGACCGGCTCTTAGAGCGGTAATGACTGGCACCTTTGATACACAAAACCAATGGACTTCAGATGACGCAGTTTTGCAGCCGTGACCAGCTCAGAGAGAAGGCCTTCATGGAATGCGCGTATTCATCACCATGGAAGGAGGTACGCGCCTGTACAGTTTGCATGGACCAGCCAATCTCTTTTTGTGCAGGTCAACACGCCTCGTATTTGACGACATTTTTAGAAAAGCTGACAATGATCGTGCTCTCTGCAGTCGACCCTGGGCCAGTGCCGGCCACGTGCTCGGACAGATATGCTTGATATATCACTATATTTGATATACCATATCACTGAACGAGTGGCGAGCACTGCTGCCCTGGTGATGAGATGTCAGAAAGCAATGCGAACGCTCACTTATTCCATTGAATCACCCCGTCGCAGAGCCTTCATCGGTCTCACCTGGACCGTCTTCATGTCGAAAATGCGACGTATCATCTCTCGGTTGGCGTAGCGCCGGAAGCAGGAGAGCAGCAGCACACCCTCCTCCACCGTGCGCACCGTCTCGAATGACCAATCGATGATGTTGGTGAGCATCACCTCGACGTCTTTGACCCGCATCCGGAACCTGATAACAGCACGGGCCGGTCGGGAGCGGTCCCGACGTCTGGCAGCAAAGGCTCACAGAGCGGTACTTCCCTATTCAGTTTCCCCTCTCCCTCTCCAACCTCAACCTGCGAAACTACGCCCCTGGAGGCTCGTGCGCAGCCACAGTAGCGCGAGACCTCATAGTGTCTTTATATGCACATGAAACATGGTGAACGCTATTTGGCGTAAGTACAAGTGGCTTAGGCTCTGGGAAAATGGCAGCCCACACTTAGAGAATAAAGGCAGGCAACCACCAGGCGCTTTGAAAGCCATCTAAATTTTCGCGGGTACATTTTCAGCTTGTACACATTTTGCTGGCACTGGTCCATAAAGCGCGTACTGACGGTGTTGAACTAAAACTTAGTTGCAATGGTTACGATCAACTGAGTCTAAACATAGCATGGGCTTTCAAGACAATGCTTTGCACACGTGAGAAAAATGATGCAGCAAAAAGTAGGCTTTTTTGACCAGCATGCTCTTTAATCTCCTCCAGTAGGCACCAGTCTTGTGGTGAAAAGGTACTCATGATATTATACGGCAAGGTGCACGGCGGGATAATTCACTGACTTCGTTAGGAAATACTCCTTGTTATGGCGGATTTTCCCCCGTCGTTTATGATGTCGCACTCCCTGCCCTGTCCCGGCGTAGTGACACGCATTTGTTCGCGGCCCACCTGGCCTGTCCTAATCGCCAGGTTGAGGGCGACGGGCCGAGTTTGTTGTCCATTGGCAAAAAAGAAATGTTGCACCGTAAGGAGAAAATGGATCGGGCCTTCTAAATATCTGCTTTAATTCCATTTCATCGAGGGAAGAGCAATGCCTATTTTGATGCTCGCTGTGGCATTAAAAGCAATTTTGGTTCCATCAAATCCTAAGCTACCGAAACCTTGCTTCTTTTGTATTTTCTCTTAAAATCATGGTTGATTGGTTATTTGGCTGTTTTGCTTAGTTTGGCTTGGACGGGTTCCCACCACCCACCACCGGACTCAGGAACGCTACATTCTAAAACAGTGCTGTGATAGCGAGGTCGAATTAGGCGCGTGATGCAGGTACTAGGTAGTGCGTATGTTTGCCACATGTACTCGTGAGCTGGACCTCGGTGCATGCTGTTTCGAAATAGCGCAATGCGTACTACTCTCGCGTCAATCAAACGCATCAAAGGTAAGGGGGAACAACAGCGGAAAAATCCGACCTGAGCTGGGCGCGATGACCGAGTCAAGTCACCCTACTTGGACTTCCCGAAAGATCTGCCGGATATGTATGAGCGCAATATATAACGTGTGACTATAAATCTACATAATCGATTTTTACGAACGCGGTATGCAGGATTTTGTTCGTCAGCGAAAATGAATAGATCACTGTGCCGACTATGACCTGATGAGGCGACCACATCAATAGTAATCATCTGCCCGGGGCCACAAACATACGTTACTAAAGATGTTTACCACGCCATTTAGCCAAGAAGATTGAAATTTGGTACCCATCCCTCGCGGAGTTCTCGGATCGCCTCATCCATGCAGTGCAATGCACTTGAGTGTGGATGGACATATTTAGGCCCCAATAGTACTGACTTGTTTGCTGTTGGAGGCTTACAGGCTGGTAGGTGGGAAAGATCAGAAAAGTGGTTGGGGCACAAGCACTCCTCTGATCAGGACAAACCGTGTTCCTTTCATTGGCATGCATTGGCACACTAATTCCTATTACTGCGTGCTAATGTTTACCTAAAATAAGATTTGGTGACATGAAATGTATGAAAATGACCAATTTCCATGTGCTTCAAAAGCTTTAGATTATCACAGGCGGGTGCAGGCGGTACTCCCATGATGAATGGAGACTGGTTTCAGTGCTGAGAGAACTTGCGTCCCAATGTTAGCCTTCCAATTTTGCACGGCCGGATAAAGCAGATGGCTGGGGCCAAACCAATAGAAAGGCAGAGAGACCTACGACGGCTCAGATGTTATGGTGGGCTGTGTACACACACAGTTGTGTGATCGGCACGCTGAATGATTGGTGGCGCGCGTGCACAAGCTGAGTACCGCCTCACTTCTGATGTCCAGCGTCTGAAACCCACACGGAGAGTTTTGGTTTCTCCCTTATTGCTAACGTCTGAATGGCTATGTGTGGCAGGGATGAGCTGAGATAGCATCCCATACGGTTTCGACTGCATTCAAACAGCTTGCACATGCACTGTCTCGTGGTCTCTGCGCCGTATGTGCAGATGTGTGTCGAGTGGTCTTATAAACGGCGGGTGCTAGAAACATAGACTTTCGAATTCCAATGAAAGGCACTCTTTCCGGACTGCTGGCGACTGCACACAATGTGGCATATCGAACAACTGGGGGGGGGGGGGGGGGGCGATGTGTATGCTGCCGCACCGCCGTCTCGCGTTGTTAGCTTGTTGCTCCGCCCTTCACTCAGGGTTCGGAGGGCGGCGAACTTAGCACCTGGACGCCCCAGGCTTGGAAAAGCAGTCGGCTGGGAAGGCCAGATCGTCTGGGCTCGGGGTAAAAAAGATTGTCAGCCAATGGCCTATGCCGACCTCCGAGATGCATTGTGAGACACTGGACACAAATGCAATGGTCTAATCGGCTCACTGTGCGGAATTTGTGATGCCGTCCCCGCTGCTTTACGTTCTCCAGTTTGGTCACACTCCATGGCCCGAGGCTTCACATCTTGTCACCGATCGGAACTCTGCTGGTCGCACGATAAGTTTCGATTTTTTCCACGAGCTTATGTGCGCAATGGTTTACCTTTGGTGATGTTTGCCCAGATCAAGCAGAAATGCATCTAACAAGCAGATATTCATCCCAAGCACATCACACGTGAACAACAGAAGTGCAGTCACTTTACATTTTGTGTCAAGCCGACACCATATCGACATAACGCTACTCGAATGGAACTATCACCACCGCGTACTCGTATCCAGAAGTTAATCCTTGCACGAAAACTTTGAAGACTTACGGTCGCATACAGAAAACAATCCTTGGAAACCGAAAGAGACGAAGTTGATTACGAGCGCATGGCGTAATTTCTGTTAAATGCACTCAAAATATGTCATGTGTGACTGCTCTTCGTGTTGTTATTTGGCAAGGGAAAAATCAAAATGTATTTCATGACAACCGAAAGGAAAACTTCGCAGAAGGAAGTTTGGAGGGCAGGCTTACTTTCTGAACTCGTTGAGCCACTGAGTGGAGCGGTTGTCGGAGATGATCTGCTTGTTGGAGCCGATGTCCTTGAGACAGGCGGAGAACACGCGCTCCAGCTCCTGCATACTGCGCGCGATCTCCGGGCCGCGGGCTCCAGCGAACAGTGGCAGCGGCACCTGCTCGCCGTCCTCCATCCTGTGAGGCCGAGCCGCGGCCGCGGCATGCCGTCACAACCACGCACGATGGGAACACGGTGGGAACCTGCCTGTCGCACGGTTATTGCAGCGACGAAAATGTGTGCGACAGACAAGGGCATGGGGAAGTCCAAGGAGAAGATTATTTAGCACATTCGTAATCAAGGCAATACTTACATCGCGCATGCTTGGCTGGTACCAAGAGTCCAAGTTTGCAAATCATGCCAGCCAGTTCCACCTTTTACCAGGCCCAGTGGACCGAGCGTTCAACCGAGCTGCCATCCGGCTCGAACCTGTTGAGGTACATCTGACTGTTGCAGATCTCGATGAGGTCCTTGCAGCGCTGCGTGAAGGCGTCGAGCTCGGCGAATATTGTGGTCACATCCAGCACCCAGCCCTGCTCAGACATCTTGTGGTGGACGCGCGCCGTCTGTCGGAGCAGGCACCGTCTCCGGTCATTCACTGACGGGCGCCGACCTCACGCAGGCCACGCTGGCACCCGGCACCTCGGCCGCGGTCGGCACGGCGCACGCATCAGGAAAACGATCGATGTCATCCAGAAGCAAGGGGATTCATGATTATCAGGCGATGACAGACTTCTTCTCATTTGAGTAATACTCCCCGCGAGTGTCGAGCCAATGATAACTGAACACCTTTTGGCTGTGGATCCGGAATTCAAAACGATTGGAATTGGGCTTGTCGTTTCATTAAACTGCCTGTATACACTTACACTTACCGTCCCCTTTTGAGCATGATTATGCTGTGCCATTAAAAGCATCCAGTCAGTTTTCAATTGTCGACCCTGTTGGAGAGCATACATGAGCTAAATAATCCCATGCCTTTTTGTAGATGTTTTTCCAGGCCATCGAACAGTCGATGCACTGCTCGAGCGTTCGAATGGAGGAGCGACAGCGGCCGTTGAAGATGTCGTCGATGGAGATGACGTTCTGACAAACGTTGATGACTTCAGTGCTGACGCGACGAAGAATGCCCGTCACGCGCTCCCTGGGCGACAGCAGTGGCGGCAGTCATTCAAAAGCCAAACATGAACAACCCCTACCTACACAGGGGCAGAAATGTTAAGCTCACTGGTTCTTGGAGCCACTGGAAGAATAGCGAAACTGATGATGAACATTGCACCTTGGATTATTTCTTCAAGCGCAATGAGCGAGAAAATTCGTGAATTACACCGCGTTCTCAGCATAACAGCACTTTGACTTGGCACGGCGAGAACACTTCAGAACACACCCTGTATAACTGGTGGTAATCTCACACAGGCGAAGTAGAGTGCGACAGCAGTACGCAAGCATGCGAACCCAACAACAAATACGACTCCAAACAAAGCAAAAAGAAGTACGAATCCAACCACAAATCAAGCGATGACAGGAGACACAGGGTCAAGGTCCACAAAATAGGCTGACGCGCTCGGAACCGGCCTCCCGGGCATGCCCGCTGGTCACGAGTCCGCACTGCCACCGCGTCTCCCGCATGGTGCTGCTGGTGGCTATCGTTACTTGAAGGTCTGCCTTTAGGCCTGATCATTTGCATTACGCTCCATGGGGAATTTTCCCGTTGATGTCGAGTTGAAGTTGTATATACATGTGTACATACATACATGTTTAGTTAGAATTTACGTAAGGGGTTATAAGTAATGTGAGTGCACTGCTACGTAAGCTTATTGGTTCCCCTGTTTTGTAATGCTCTAGAAACAGACACCAGAATCCGTGGCCGTTAGATAGAGCATCAGCACCTGACTACGTCCAATTCGCTGAAGTCTAGAATGTTCCTGTGAACAAGTTACCTGATGGCGCTCAGGCCTTTTTACCTTTGTAGGACAGCAAATCAGACGATACGTTAACGAAATTATTGGTCATTTCGTCAAATGGTACATATTTATCCCCAAAGCAGCCTGTTCTGAAGGAGAATGTGCATTCCTAACACACCCTGAACGATGTATCGCAACTGTCGGGGGCAGATGGAGCGTGGTCTTCTCATCAGAGCTGGGCGTGTATATCAGCCAGCTGTTCTATCGCGAGTGGTGTCGAGCTGGGCTGGGCTGAGCTTTAGCTTTTAAGTATTGCCCTTTTACTCATCAATTCACTTTTGTGGCTATGGTGGATAGGGAGAAGACGTGGCTCATATGCGGCTGGCACAAAGCAGTGGGAGGTCTGCGCCAGGCCAGGGAGTGGGCTGGCGGGGCCCTGGGAGATCGATGGATCGGATCGTGGTCCCTGTCAGCCTCGGTGGCATGAATGGGAAAGGTAGTTGATTCGTCCTCAAAGGCCTACAAGGTGGGAATTTGGACAAGTGGTGCTCCGCGCTGGCTTGTTAGCCCTCTCAGCACCAGTATTTGCCCAAGTGCACGAGATCTTGGCAATATCCCACCATCGCATAGCTTCAGAAGTGTTCAAAACAATGTCCGAAAATATTTTAGTGTAGCAGTGTCGTTGCCGCACACGGACATTTAAATCCCATTGTCACCCAAGGTCACGCAATGGCAACCAACGAGCTTAATTTATCCATTGAAAGCAAATCTTACCCTGCTCGAGGAAGTTTTCAGTAACGAACATAAAATGGACCATGATACCGAAAAAGTATCGTCTGATCACGTCGGATCCAACCAGACAGGTCAAACTGAGAAATGCGGTAAAATAACATGCACATAGACATAGCCGGCGTAAATCATGTGCGGACTGCCGCCGTCTCCAAATTTTTGCCTCATCACGTAAGCCGTGGAATTGGCAGAAGGCGTCTTAACTCACGTGAGACTGCACTGCCAAATGTGTTGAGGCCGGCGAAGCTGGCAGCGGCTAACGCGCTTCTCCGAACTGCGTGTCTTCGCAATAAATCAGACAGATCTTTGAAGTGGAGGACTCACGAAAGAAAGCAACGGGTATGCTGAGTCTCGCCGCTCCCCCTTTCGCACCTGGTGTTGTAGTACGGCGAGTTGTTCCACACAACGCGTATCAGAGTGAGCACGTGCTCCAGCTGGCCGGCCATCTCGTCCGGCGATGACTTGCTGAGCTCCTCGCATGGCTCCTGCAGCAGGCTCAGGTAGTGTTTGTTGCTGCCGGACGCGGGCGGGCCAAGGTTAGCGCCAGCGTTGCAGCCGGCCTCAGTCAGACGTGGCGTCCATTTGTCGGCTCAGGCAATATGTGGCCTAGGAACGCGACATACATGGCCGCGCACTCTTTTATGAATGGACGACGGCTGTAAAAACCACACCATCGCTCAGGGGCCATGGTGCAACCGGGGTTCCAACCCGGGCACTTACATAGTAGTCGAAGGTCCTAACCACTCCGTCATCACACCCTCATCCGCATCACTGCATGTCCTGAAGTCCGGTAGCAGGGAATTAGAGAAGAAATCAAGAGGGGGGGCCGGGAGCCACGTAAGAAACTATGAGAGCCGGAAACGAGGAAAAAACACGAGGGAGCCGGAAACTAGGAAAGAAAGCCTAAGCTTGTTCGACCTACCAGAGTACACGCGTGTAGACCAGACTTCGGTTATGCTCTAACATAACATCTTTGAATTTATAGTTATTATTATTGCAAGCATCACCAAGTCGATTCAGTGTCACATAGCGCGTTTGCAAATGTGATGGATTGGCAGCGGGACTTTGTATGGAATATCCTTAAGTCAGGGGCGTTGCTGTCACTCAACACCAAGCGCGCCCGCCCTTATGTCCGCACAGCATCTGACACCGGGTAATCACCCGGCGGGCACGCAGGTGAGCGACTCAGAATTCACACCGAAGCCGAGTCGGCAACGAGGGCTAGTTGGCGACAGACCACTCCGGCAAGACGGAGACAGGTCCCCCAGTCGAAAGGACGTCATGCGGTTAATGGCCGTTTGCACCTTGCGAAGTAGCTGCGGAACCGATCCAGTTTACAGCCAGCCAGCTGCTGCGGATTGGAGACGCCAGTTTCTTAGCCCGCGGGCCCGCAAACCGTGGGGAATAGAGCACAAAGGATATCTCTCGTCCGTAACACCTGACCACGCTAGGATCTGCTGCGGACTCTCCAATGCGGTGGATGCTTACCAGGCGCGCCATTTTGTAGCTGTTAAACCCGCGCTTTGCGGGCCTGCGGCCTTACATCTAGCGCGTCCAGTTTGCAAAAGCTGACTGGCTGCAGACTCTGCAGCGGATCCTAAGTCAGTCTGCAGGCGTGAGCGGGCCTTAAGGTTTCCAGCCGCTTAGCTCAGTGCTGTGGCGCGACCTCACCTCTCGGCCTGCTGTGACCCGTCCTGGATTTCGTGGGCCAGCCGGTTGAAACGGCCGATATAAGAAGACTTCGCGTGCTCCAAAACATCGCTCATCTTCTTCACCACCACGCTGTCCAGCTGTACCTTAACGCCTGACAGGTCCTTACCTGAGGTGAAAACCAGCAAAACACGTACACCCCAGACAGGAACCGAGGGTCCAAGGTACCGCAGTACCCGATCACTTCGACGAATGATACATCTCGCCGACCTGAGGTGAACAGGTCAGGTGCCGCGGATGGCTATGCGTACCTTTTGATAGTATACGGGCTGCACTGCAGCTTGCAAACATTATGGCCCCATAAAGCGCAGCACGGTGCAATGATAGAGCGAGCAGTATGTGTGTGAACATTTTGCCTTGTTGGAAATGGTCTGTAATCGACAACTCTTAGAACACGCTTCGGTTTGGTTGAAGTTCGGCACCAACATGCAATTATGATACTTTCCTACACCACTGAGATGAAGAATTAAGAAACCTTGACTTTTTATTATATTAATTAAGGCACTTCTGACCTCCTTGAAACCAGGCTTCACGTTATCGACATGCATACATGTTATCGAGAGCACTCTGGGGATCTCTTTTGCATATGCCGTCGCGGGTGGTGGTCATGGTGCTCTGAATGCCAGCGTCAGTCAGTTAAGTATCTGTGATGCGACTGATGACGTTGCACTAAAGGCCTTCCTTCAAAAAGCTGTAAAAAAAATTACGGCTGGATAAGTCTGGCCAACAGAAGGAACTTAATTAATACTCCCCAGATTTCCAGCGGTTGTAAGGACCCCAGCCATAATATGACAGTACGTCACGTTTCCGTCATGATGAAGGCGACAACACATGCTGGTTTTGATCAATACTTCAAACGATCTCCTCGCCACGAGACGAAAGTAGCGCAGAAAGAGTACACGGATCTTACGCGCGTTGCCGTTGTATTCCTTGGTTTTGGAAACACTCAAATGCAAAATAAATAAACCAAAAGGTAAGCGAACGCGATCCCATAGCTTATACGCAAAAATAACAGCCGGGTTAGGCCATTGCGCGTAATCCTAGCAACTGACCACACGCGATTGCACATGACTATGTTGTTCGTACGCGATTATGTTCAACTTTGTAAACTGTGCGCTATTAGCGTAAATGAATCGGGATTCGTGTTTGCATGATCCCAAGTTAGTTTCACGTCAATTCCTACAGACACATTTCAGCTTAGTTTGACTGCGGACTAATCAGATAACCGTCTATCCGCTTAATTGACCAACGCTGGGATTAAAAAAACTACTGAACAATGCTGCGTAACATGGCGTCAAGCACATGTGTATCAAAGGCAAGCACTCTGAGAAGTTAATTTTGAATTAACTGCGAAAAACACACAACATTAAGTCAACACTACCAAAATCGATGGAATGTATGACAATCGAGCAAACTGAAATATTACACCAGAGTAAATTAAAAAGGACAGGAGCAAATTACACAAACATAAAGACACACGATATGAACTCAGCACTACTAACAATTAAAATTTGCTCATCAAAAAAGCTAAAATGTTATACTGCAGGTGCATTAGTCCAGGACGAAATATATCAGCATAGGCCTTATTCGAGCACGTACAGCGATCGTTCCAGAAGTGAATCTCGTCCAGCGGGCCGGCTTTTTCTGGCATCTCGATCGAGTCCAAGCTGCTCAGCATCTCCTTGATTTGGCGGATCCAGTGCACCATCGCCGCTGCAGAGCGCCGCAGCCGACGTCACGGTGACCGGAAACAACATTTGGAGTGGGCAGGACGTGAGACGCGTCAGAAGAGGCAGCAGTCTCAGCGGCGAAAGCGACGTACAGCGCAATATTGCCATGCCCAGTCACAAGATGAAGCGGGCAACCTATAGCCCAAAAAATCGCTTCCGATGTTTTTACCTTACCGCCAGCGCCCGTATTCACTCAGAACACAAAATACCAGGTAGAAGGAGCTTGTTTGGTAACACGAGCCTTGGTTACAGAAAAGGACACGTGACGCTACGTGGTTGGCCAATGTAGGCAGAGCATCGACCTTCCAGCCTTCAGTCGCTATCCAGTGAGAGCCCGGCGACGTCCGTTCTGTGATTGAACCCTCCATGTCGCTCCGGCCACTGACTACAGCCCGTGACAACCATGCCAGCTCTGAGGCCCGCTCTACAGGGTCCGCTACCAGACTGACAAGTGGCATTAAGCAATTGGTTCTGCGGTAGCACTCCGACAGCAGTTCTGTAAGGCGCCGGACTCCGCAGCGCCAGTGGGGGTCACTCACCCTCCAACCTTTCCACCAGATCCTTGTCCTTCGCCATGTCCTCTACGGGGCGGGACAGGTCCTCGGAGGGGATGTACAGTACCGTCTGGCCTATGGCCTTGTACCGAGCGTCCGTCAGGTAGGCCATAAACCGGTGCAGCTTCCCGGAAAAATCTTTCCGGATGCCTGAGATAATCTAGTTAAGAAAGGGTGATGTCTACTGGATGATAGACTAGGCTGACACACACTTATGCCAGTCAACGATAGTAGCTTAACACTTTCAAACGTTTTTGATAACGAGTGAAAACACTACAGGCAATAAGGGTATGTGACGAACGTAACGCGGAAAGTCAAAATAAACTTATTTGGCACTAAGCACTCAATGTTCTACCAAAAAGATTTAGAAATCAGTACCCGGAGTACTAATAAGTCGACAGCGCAAACAACAGGTCTGAGACACTTCTATAAGTTCGCATTAGATACTTTCTGTGTACATATTGATATTGATCTACGATCACTTGCTGCTGGCACATGGTCATGTGGTTTTAGACATCACACAGTGAAGGGGATTAAGCATCCCGTTTTGTTACCATGAGCTATTGCTTCAGGACATTAACATTTTAAAGATTCGATATCGCCCAAAAGCGAGGAATACGGTGAGCACCCTCAGTCTTGCTGCGAAAGGATACTGTCCGGCCATGTGGTGTCATCCAAGAAGTACGGCATGTACAGGGAGGACATCCGGATCAGCAGCGACTCCAGAAAGGGAGCCTTCATGTTACCCCATGCCACCTTGCCCCGGTAGTTAAGGTCGCTTAAGACAGGTGGCGCGCTGGGTCGCTTCAGGAAGTATATCACCTCATCCACCTGCGCCACCAACGACAGAAGTCATGACCTTGGAAACCGTCACGTTGCATGGGACGCTGAGATGTAAGGACGGCTCGCTTCATGATTGGAAAGTCCCGACTCCGCGCCAAAAGTTGTTCTGTTTAGAATACCGTAACTGCGTACGTGCGGCTTAAGGCTGAGCGGTTCTGACGTACCCTTCTTCAAAAAGGCGTTCCACGGCGTATTTACTGCTGGTGCACAAAGGAACAGGCGCAAACCTGTTGGATCGGCGCGCCGAACAGAGCCGTTAAAATCTTGTGGTGCTCCTGGTCCGTCTCCACGAAGAATGTGATCATGGGGCGGGTCTCGTCTTTCAGGAAAGTGGCAATCTTCTCGTCATGAGACGCATCCCACAGATCGGCAGGCAGGCCACACAGCAGTGCACACCGTCGAATGTAGCCCACCTGGAGGGCGAAAAAGGACTCAGTGGCTGTCACAACAGGACGAGAGCGGCGCCGTTAGGGCTAACTAGACCACACCTCACATCAAACCGGCCAGCTGACAGTGCACAGCGTGAGAGGAGTACGGGGCATCACAAAGGCAGATCTGTCACTGCTAAGGACCCATCCATATCCATCCAAAGATGGCCCCGCAGGACAGATTCTGGACAATGGCCTCCAACTACCTCCCTATAAAGAGGACTTCCACGACGAAGACGGCATTAGAGAAAACACCTGGTCCCCGCAGCAGGACGGGGCGGCTCACCACACACCAATGGCCTTGCCCTGGCTGGAAGACCACTTCAGAGAGCGCATCATGAGCTGAAAGGCGGACTACGACCTTCCGCATGTTTATCCAGGATAGTTTCGTATGTGTAAGCGCGCAGGAAGAGAGCCCAGAGCTTTGGTGACTGGATGGAGTCACCATCCAGGTGGCACGCAAAACAACACCTCATACATTCGCCAGGGTTTACGATGAGGGGGTAATTAGTGCGTGCAGACACCTGCCCCCTTCGAAGTGATTCACCAGAACATGCTGTGAATAATTACCCCGATGATAATTAATTTTCAACGGTGCATAATACAATACCTATCGTTCGGCGTGTCTCTTGAGCTGAAAAGTTTGTCAGTGTGTCTTGCCATTTTTGTACTAGGGCCAAGCGAAGTCCGGACATATTTTTTTTTCGCCCTCAATGAGCCCCACAGTGGCAGATGTTTGTAAGTCGCCTGCGCGCTGCGCCCCGAGTGGCCGCGGTGCCGGCGCGCGTCGTCCTCTCCACTTCAGTGTCTCGCTGTCCGTTCTGTGCGTATGGACTGCGTGAAACCATTGCTGTGATTTGAGTTGACCGTGACGAGCATGACGTAAGCTCTGAAGTTCAGTGCTCGCGACCCTTGGCCTCAGTGGAGGCATACTGTTTCCTCGCACTGACCTGCTGCTCGCCAGTGACCACTGATTGCGCATATTTTTCCGCCGGGACACGTTCATTGTTGAGACCCTCAACCAGGCTCAGCTACTACCACGGCACTACCTGACATCTCGACATGGATGCTCGCCGAACACCTATGTTTCATCGCAATATTGTAAAACTTTCTGCGCCCGTTGTGGTTGTCTGGATCTTAGTGTACGTTGCGACTCCCGTGCTCCGCCCCGCCCACCCGACCGATGGAGCGGGACCCGCCCCTGGCTGCGTGACCCTGGACGTAGCATGTTCCCCGCCGGGCTGGTATCGCCGGCTCTAAGGTCAGTAATCCTCGTGTGCCAATCAGCGGCTGCCAAAGGCTGGTCACACGGTACTAGCCGCAAGGGTCGGCGACACGGATTTTCAGTTGGGGAGGGGACGGGGGGGAGGGGCGGGGGAGCGGGATTTTTCAGGTCGCCTCCTGGGGGCACTACTCGTAGGAGGTTTCCTGAGCAGCGTTGCATCCAGAAGCGGGGGAGGGGGGGAGGGCACGTATCTCAGACTACATGTAAATAAAAGGCAATCCACATTACACATATGGTTACCGATTCTACCCATTCTTCCACGTCTTCTTCTGGTTCTGATTCTATCTCTTCATCACTCTCCAGTTCGGTGCATTCTGACTCGTCAAACTGAGAATCTGAAAACATTCCAGCATTCAACAACGAAACAAAGATGTCCTGGAGTCTCATCATATTATGCGGTGTAATGTGTATATGTGTACATGTGTAATAATCTATATGTGCAATGCAAAGTTCATCATATTAAGCGAAACCAAAAGCCGACAGCTTTTGTCACCTCCAGGTGTTCGCAACAAGGCCTGCATCTTAAGCGATAAAGCCGCGTCATACAACATTCCCTTGCATCCTTGCGTTATTGCAGGCACATGAGGCATTTATCAGAGTTTTACAACAGGCTCATGTGTAGTTTTGTCTCTGCACTTGCCTTCTACTTCTGACGCCTCCTCTGGCGCCTCCTTGTGTTTTTTGCCTTTTCTTCCCTTCTTGTGTTTTCCCTTCTTTCCCTTTTTTGGACTACGTGGGCTGTTACGAGACTTGGATTGGGCGTTTTTCTTGCCCGGTGACTTGCTCTTTGACCTAGCTCGTGGCATTATTTCTTACTCTTCTCACCAACCAAGAATGGAAAGACGCGGCGCCAGCGGCTGATACCTGGGCCAATCTGAAAGAGCCGTCATGAAAATGTTGTAAATCCATTTGTCAGTTAGCTCTCCGATGAATATATATGATAACTTGGTGTGTGAAAACTGATGGGCATTCGAAACATTTAGCGCATCTCTAAATTTGCCATACAAAAGCCCAATAGATCAACAATGCTCTATTGGTCTAAATTGTTAATGGTCTTAATAGACCCCCCCCCCCCCATCTCTCCCCCCAACCGAACGGCTAGAGCCATGAAGCTGACTTTTCTACAGCGATCAATTTGACATTCCCTGACAAAATATTGCCTCATCACACTGCCTAAGAGCGGTTCCTGACCTGATTTATATGAGATATTTCAGGAAAATCGGCCGTCTTTTAGGGGCATGCACTGGTAGATAAATTCCTGGCAATAAAATGAATGCTTGACTTATAAGACTTTAGCGTTTAGGAAACACAAGAGCGGCGTAAAACGCGAAAAGGAAGTCGCATGAAAAGACCCAGCGAGCAAGGGTCCGGCCCTCAAGAGGCGATAAGGGTGAATGGTGATAGTCAGACCAGTGACGAACTCATCCGTTGCCAGTCCCTCCGGGTAATCAGGCAAATTAATATGCCCGTTTAGAGCTTCCATGTGCCATATCTTATCACCAAAGCCAGCCCCAAACTACAGTGCACAGACGTGTGACCAAAGCAGCCTTGTGTCTTCAAGTCGAATGAATCTATGAGGATACACGGTAACAAACACTTCGTCTCATGTGCTCCTTTTGAATGGAAACGGTCCATGGCCGCGTGCTACGTAATGTTCACGCCTAGTTCAGCCCAGCAGCCCCAATCACTCTGCTTTTGTGCTCTTAGCGAAGGGTGTTTTGGGCAAATTATAATTCGACCGTTTATATGGCTTAAAAAAGACGCTTGGCCTCGGGTCCACGGTATTACAATGTGAATTTCCGGCAATTGGGGTAGCAAAATATTTATCTTCTAGCGAAAATTTCGACAGGTCATCATGTCCTAAATAAACTACTGAGGCAACCCTCTCACAAAATTAGGGATCCGGCGACGTGACGCCATTGGGGAATATCTTTAGAAATGCAACGTTCAGGACAATACTGCACTCGCCATTCACGGGATAACAAACCGATTTTTCGGCCTTGATCGCCACTTGGCTTTTTGAATGACAGGACTTGAATGACGTGATTATGACGTAATCAATGTCCAGGTGTCCATTGGAATACATTTCCCGGGATATTCACACTATTTCCGCGGGCGTGTAGCCCAGAACTAGAGGGACATAGGTCTTAGGCACCGAGAGGTTGTCAAGATGACTAGCTCAGTTCAAAACTCCATACAAATGTGAAGCACTAGCTTTAAAGGGAGTGGTTCACATTTATGCGGGGTTTTGAAATGAAATAGGCATTTGAAGACCTCTCGGTTAGTGTTCACGATCCCGCCCCTCTTAAGACTTCAGCCCCTTTAGTTTCCGAGCTACACGCCCACGAAAATGGATAAAGGTTATATCGGAGATTTCAGTCACTTTTGACATTCATGACGTTATAATGATGGCATTCAAATCCTGACATTCTATCACTCCCTGCAGCGTAAGGGCAAAAAAATATAACTGTCGAAAGCGTTCTATCTGGTCGTTCATGAGCGCGATTTCTTCCGGATATAACAGCCGTCAATTTGCTCTACAATCAACGTGAGAGGTACGATGCTGTAATCAAATTCATGACACATTGAGTAGCATATTTACTAAACAGAGAATTTAGCTGGTTTAGAGCAGTCTTTTCCACTTGAAAAGTGCGCCAACGGCAATAAGTGAGGTTGTTTCATCATATCTGATGTTTGCTTCAATATATTCCATGTGAACATTCCCTGTAACATCATTCCACACAGTTCAAGAAAACTAAATAGAGCTCACATACAAAGTCGAGGAAACGAGAAAGACTCGGACTTCGTTAACCACGACATTTTTAGTACCTTGCTTTCCCACGCTGCCTGCCCCCCCCCCCCCCCGGCGCTTTTTGGGATTTGGCCTTCCTTTTTCACACAATTTGCTGAATTTGCTTCATACTACGGCGATTGAAAGAGGGCCACCCAACCACCTGACCCACAAGTCCACAGATCAACAAGGCGTGGGCCAGGCGGCATTCTGTTTATTTTGTTCCTCCGAAAAGCGGCATTTGTGTGATCACCAGCTCGAGAGACCAGTTTGTGCAGTCGCTGTTTATTGAAAATACAACCGCTATTGCGTATTCCATTTCTGAACATTTACCCGGCCCTGATCACCGACGCATGCAAGGTGTTGTAATGACCATCGCTTGTCCATGTCCAAGTCCATGGTAAGTTCAGTGGTGTGGAAAATACGTAAGTTGTTGGGTGCATCTGCGAGGGATACTGTGCATGAGATAGGATCGTACAAATAGCCTTAATTCCTCGTAGAACAACCAGGAGAATGGAGATATAGGTGGATTCAAGTCCATTTCGGTATGCAAACATAGTATCTCCAACGGTATGAGTTGCACAACGCTTTGCAAATATATCTATCTCTTCCTTCAGTTTGTTCTACGAAGAATGAGACTATTAGTGCCGTCTTATCCATGGGCATCGAAAACAGTGTGCAACAAATATTCTTTTAATTTATTTGTGCAAGCCGACCAGATCTGGCAGCCTTCCTAGCATGAAAATGTGCAGGGAGGAATATCGGTGCGAGTGTGGAAAAAAGGAGCATCCATCACAGAGTGCAGAAGGAGACTTTCCACCATAATTTCAATCAAAAAACGGTTGCGTAAAACTTATCTCTCCTTACCCCCTAAGCCATAGATGTGTTTATGCGCCCAAAAGTTGAGACGGCAAATTTGGAGACCAAGGCGCGTTCTAGACTTCAAATTAGGACCATGCTTGAAAGACAACTACCAAGCACACTAGGTCACGTTAACTGAGTGCCAAAAATCCCGACTCTAACATACAATGCCAATGGGGTCATTATTCACCTCTACCCTCTATACGCCAGGCTGAAACGTGTTTGATGATTTCCTCCTAAAACCCACAAACGCCCAGTTGAATCCGTATCATTAGCCTTAAAGGGACTGCTCAAGCATTGTATGGGGGTTTTATGTAAGTAACACTGGCCTTGTCATGAACAGTTCGTGGCAGTTCACAGCTATGTTCCTTTTAAGCTCTAAAATTATCTTATTTCTGAGCTCCGTGCCGTGAGCTTGTGAAGCCTACGATGTGCTGTCTATGGGAGTCACCCGGACGTGTATAACATCGCCGCACGAGCACCATACCCGCTGGCCGTTTGTGCTGTGCTGTGCTGTGCCTGTGACTGAGAAATGTATCGCCGTACTCAACATTTGAGTTTGCAGTGACGCGCACTAACGTCCATAACGACAAAAGCCAGCAAGGTTAAAGGGAGTTTCCACCTATGAAGATGTAAAAGCAAGCATAAGATCTGATACCATAAGCTCGCCTATGGCTATGGTATACTTTTCAATACAAGAAATTGCTCTTTACAACAAACATTATCTTTTCCGCAAATATGCTCGTCACGCGTCATTGTTGTTTGCGTCATGGAACTTTGGTATGACAATGAGATGCTATCAAACCGGCTGTGCGAAATTGCTTCCCTAGCATTCATCCATGCCTCAATTTCCCGACATGTAGCCGCGGCGGTGCTGAAAGTGTTTGCTCAACCAAATATATTCACGGCTTAAGTTTTGTTCCTTCCTCGAGGGTGTTCTTACATATTTATCCGTGAGTTTTCTTAAGGTCGTTACTTGCGTTAACATACTCGGTTACGAAGCTATTATTAAGTTACTCGATACAAGTCGCATTTCCGTAACGTCTAGGATACATGTCCCACTTATTGTATGTACCACAAAATGTGATTCGTCTTTGAAACTTGCTCAGCGGGCGCAATACTGAGAGCCAATTGACGTCTGTAATAGCTGGAAATCCTGCTGACAAACGTCAGATATGAACGACTTGACGATTGCTTTCTTCGTGGCCTTGAACGCCGCATGACCAATTGGGTAGCAGAATTGCAATGACGCTACTGAGATGTCAAAATACCTGAATGGTCTTGAAATGGTATTCGCGAGAAAATCTGCGCACATTCGAGGGCGTGCGACTCAGAACCTGGAGGGTTTAGGTCTTAAGCAAGGCTGTGACCTGCACCAAATGACCAATGTGTATTTTTCAGTTCAAAACTCCATACAAAGGTAAACATTCCTATTAAATGTAATGTTCCACATTTGTGTGGGGCTGTGAACTGAAAGAGCCACTTGAAGACCTTTCAGTGCCGTTCAGCCCTTTTGCTCCCTTCTCCCTGTTCACAATCCTGTTCACAATCCCTTGCAGGGGAATGTTCCATATTTGCAGATATTAAAGCATCAGATATGATGAAACACGCTCACTTATAACTATTGGTTACTTTTAAGTGAAAAGGGCTACTTAACACAGCAAAAT